AAGACTGTTTATCATATACTTATAGGCATGTTTTTACTGCAATCATTGTCCTTGTTGGTTTATTTTTATTATCTTTTTTATTTTGCAGTGATAAAATCAAATCTCTCCTCGGGTGTGGACAGTGATCCGAGATCTAAAGAAGTGTTTGCAGTGAAAAGCAGCCCTAGGTAGCTTCTTTGAAGAAATGAGCAAATGATGCCAATCCACTGCTCATTTGCATATTTCCATCAGAGTGCCTCAGTAGCTCAGAAAGGATGTAATGTATATAATAAACCTTGAAGTGGGGCTTACTTTTCCTCACATCAAGGGAAGAGATGGCTTTTTATTCTTTGTTACACAGACATGTCCAACATCAGACAAATTGGTGAAGAGACTTCTCAGCAGCTAGCAGGACGTTTGAGTAATTTTTCTCCCCGTTGGTTTTGTTGCTCTTTTATCATTTATAGCTGAAATTGCTGTGAAAGGATGGCACTAAGAGTCGGGTAAAAATAAAACCTGCAGCACTCAAAGCAGACGGCTGGATGGACATGATGCTAAAAATGGATTTTTGAGCTTCAAAACCTTTGTAGTGTTTTTGTCATAAAAGCAATATGTTTATTAATACATGAAAGTTTATATAGGCCAAGCAGCGCTGAGCGCCATTGATGCTTGCAGCTTTGATTAATCTTATTAGCAAAAGGTACTGTATGGAGGATCTTTTTCCTGCCAAAAACCAAGTGCACACATTTTCAATTTGAGAGCAGAATTTCCTTTACTCAAAATGTGTAATGCTTACATTCAAGACTTCTGCTTTCTCTCAATATTCTCTTCTCTATTTAATCTTTGTTTCTGCTCTCAAATCTAATGCTTTCTACGCACAGATGTTTTCTCCTCTCATTTACTTCCTTCTCCTTACCAGCAAACCGGTCTGCTTGAGTTAGAGATGCAGTCGCAAACCCGTTGGATCTGTTTAGGGATCTGTTCCGGGATTATTTACGCTCTCTCTCAGACTGGAGTTGGATCGTCGCCTAGCAACCTTTGCAGCCAATAGAACGACAGCCTCAAAGAGTGCGCATGTTTTCTTCTACCAAGTTTGCCTCTTACTGCAAGGATTAAGGTATTCCGGCCCCAGGTCGGATTTCAGGCTCATAGCGATTGCCCGTGGGTAAAAAAAAAAAAAATCACTCGAAGATAAATTGGAGGTAAATAAATTTTAAAAAGACAATCGAAATCCCTCTTGCGTTTGCCAGCCAATGGTAGCAAAGGAACGCTCAGAAACGGAGAGTATTAGCCAAACAGAAGAAGAAGCTGATTTACCAGTGTCAATAACTGACCGTGTATGAGAGTTAAAAATAAGGGGTTTGTGTCACCGTTTCTTGCCTGTGTCAAAAAAGTTCAGGCTCAGGATTTTTTATTTATTTATTTATTTTTTTTGCTTTAATCCCTGTTACTGCTTACTTATAATACAATTGCTTTTCAGCTTTTTTCTTCTAACCCAATTGTGCTCAATTGTCTTCAATCAAATACATAAAAAAAAAAACTAAATAGATTTATGAACCCTTTTAGCCACAAAAAAAGAAGGCTACTTGCTTAAGAGTCTTAGGCTATGTTCACACTGCAGGCCTTGATGCTCCATTCTCATTTTTTTTTTTTAAGTAAAATACGATTCTTTTGCACGGTTGTTCACATTTCCAAATATATGTGACTTGTATGTGATCTGAACTGCATTCATACAGCTTAAGTGTCCCGCATGCGCAGTAGAGGATGCATTGATGTCACAAGCGAGTGTGCTCTCTGTTTATGGAAGTAAACATAGATGGTAGTGCTGGAGCACATCTTGCAATCTTTTATTTCTTTCCCAACATCAGCCAGTGTATTAACAACACAATCTTTTAAACAAGGTTGAAAATCAAGACTGCTCTCCGCATTATCGTCCACCATGGTTGTTCATTCGACATAAGTAGCTGAAAGATCTGACACTGGGTATATTAATATGTGTTTAAATTATGTCTTTAAACAAAAAGCTCTATGTGAAAGTGTAACTCTGTGAAAATAAAATTTATTTCAATTGATTATCACATAGTTATTTTCAACCAGTCTATAAATATTAAACCTATGACCTCAAATATAATCTTATGAATTTTAATTTCACAGTGTTACACTTTCACATGGAGCTTTTTGTTTGAAGACATAATTAAAACACCTATTAATATACCCAGTGTCAGATCTTTCAGCTACTTATGTCAAATCAAACAGTTTTATTATCTAATTTCCCTGATAGTGACTGCGGTGCTATACCAGGCTGAGTGTCTGAGCTGGAGGAAAGAGCAGTGCAGCAAGAAGACATCCTGACAGGATTTATAGCCTCAACATCATTGCACCGCAGTTCCTATTACCTGACATGAAAGTAGTGATGTTATTTTTTTCTTTTTTTTTTTGGGAAGAGCAACGATCACTTTTCATACTCCATCATTCAGTTAGTGGGTTTCACAGATTCCAAATGAAATAAAATAAACAATGGATGAAGTTATGCTTAAAGTCATTAAGATTGGCAGCTCTATATATGCAATATTTTGAAGCAGGATCGTAATCTTGATGAGCTGTCTGCACAGGCATATTTTGAGGTGGACTTTGTCACATAAAAATACAAATTTTTACCAACTTACCACAGCAATCATAGCAAAGCCACTCTCTGCCATTGATCAGAGGACTAGCACAAGCATCAGATGCATCTGTACACACTTTGTTCGACACGCTTCAGGAGCATCAAAGCTGCTCTTGAGGCGTGTTTGACCTTAATGTGGACAAGCATCAAAAATGAAGCAGGAGAAGCTTTTTGCTGCTAAAATCGTGTTAACTGTGAACGTAGCATTATATGAATCTCTCTCCAGCACATCTATATATACGTAATAATATTAATAATTTAACTTAATTGGAAATTTACCTCTGCATTTAACCCATCCCCTGCGGAGCAGTGGGTGCTATCGTGGGGTGCCTGCGGAGCAGTGTGGGTTAAGGATCTTTGCTCAGAGAGCAAGAGTGGCAGTCTGTGGAAGTGGGGTTCAAACTCATTTACCTACCTGACCCAGTAGCAGGCAATTTTTATTATAGACACAAATTCACCATGCTTTAGGAGGATATTGGTCTGATTTTACCAAAATATGATTGCATTTAAAGTGCCTGTAGTTTAGCAAACACCATATGTTAAACTATGTGATGGTAGGACAGGGAGGGCTTTTGTTCAGCATCTCTCTAAAACAAACCGCTGACATGTAGACATTATTTGATGCTTGTTGTGGAGACTTTTTGTTTGAGATTCTGCTCTGTGCTGAATCTATCCAAAATTAAGATCTGTAATTCTTAAAGAAAAACTCCTAGATATTCATCATCCTAAAAGGATGAAGTATAATCTGAAAACACTTCAGTTAGGTTTATTAACACAAGTGATCCTATTAAACCTTAATAATTGAATAATTATACTTAAGTTAATTGGGGATTTAATTATGCTATATTTTTAAGGCATTATAATAACACTCCAATAAAATATGAATAGTCATTTTTTTTTATATTTTTAGAGGATAAAATTAAAGTGCTGTGCTGTAAAGACCTCAACACAAGGCAGCTACTTAAGCAGAGTAATTACACTCGTCTCTCATCCTCTGCTTTTCATCCTGCGTCTGATAATCATTGCATCTGAGGAGGACCCATTGATGCTGCTGAGTTCCACTCAGCCTCCATATTGCACAAATCTCTGCATGGAGCACGAGCTCCCCAATTTGTCTGAACCTCTGAGACCTGATCAAAAGTACCTCTGAGGCTCATCTAAAGACACTGCTGTCACCACCCCCCTTCTCTACCCCATCTACCAGCATCCTCCCTCTATCTATGCCCCCCAACCCCCCTCCTATCCCCTGAAGGTCTGCTGAGCAGCTAAACTGACACTGTAGAGCTCTCCATCTTTTTAAGCTCTCCAATTAAACCGTGAGTGTTGCCCAGGTTTAGGCGAGTCATTCTTTGTCACTTTGCTCCGTTGTACGTTCAAATCGTGTCTACAAATGCCCACTGAAGGTGACCTTTAGTTATAGATACGGTAACTAGAAGCATGATCTCCAGCTGCTCTGATCTGGATGAATCCACTGCATCAATGTGACAGTCAAACGGGGGCCAGTGGGACCCCCATTCTTCCCCCTCCCTTGTGAGTTCTGGAGAAGAGGGATGATTAGCCAGCTCCTCAATTAAACATAACCCTACATCAAACGGCCTGTCGGCATGCGTTAGTGGCCCTTTGTACAGATAAGAGGCCAAAAGAAATTGCCAGAGCTATCATCATTCTCTGTGATTTGCTCAGGTTTTTTTATGAAACCAGTAGGATATGCATGCTGATGTTCTCTCTTATTTTTTTTTTTGTGTGTGTTTACTTCAGTGTTTTCCCTTTCCTCTATGAGCAAATTTAAACCGGAAATCCAGCAGTGCTCTTTGCGTTGTTGGTATGTTATGAGTTGAATATGACAGCAGCCAACCTTTATTTGCACATGTGTGATGATGGCATAACCTTTCTTTATTTTATCACCACCATCATTAGCTTTGGCAGCTCCTTTTATCGCCTGCTTTATCACCCCCCTTCCTGTGTGATTATATTTTATTTTTCACTCTTATTGCCTATATTCTGCATCTCTGCAGGCTGGCAGTGAAAATAGGTCAGAGGCAGAAGAAAGATCGGTTTGAAAACTACCACACAATATTAATGAAGCAGTGAGAAACCAAACCTGTACTGCAGCCACGCTGAAGCAGGTCCACTGATTAAAGAGTGTCCCAGGAATTATGAGTTTAAGTTTTAAACCACTGTGCTTTCTTCTAACCATTTCAGATTATTATTTGCTCTGTAGGTTTTCTGAGTGCCCTTTTGAGTTTTTTTTTTTTTTTTTTGGCTGGTTTATAATTTAACTGCATCATATACAGAACACACAACCTACCATTTCACCTTTTTAAAATACTTATGCTGCTGGTTTTTGTGTCACCAGAGCCACAGGAGCAGAGGGGATGAACCGCGAGGAGGCGCCGGGGAAGTCTCCTGAAGACATGTATATCCAACAGAAAGTGCGGGTCCTGCTCATGCTTAAAAAAATGGGTTCTAATGTAAGTAAAGCGATTGGACCGACAAGCTTGTTTTGTATATAACATGTAGATCTTTAGGTTTATAGATTTACATAACGTTTTTTGCCCTATCATCTAATCCCTATGGTATAGTAGTCTTTACCTTTCTAAGGGGACTTAGGATGATGCCAGGGTACTGTATGAAAATCATTTAGCATTGAAAACTTTACTACAAAGCCAATATCATTTATTGCTTTGTTTCTTACAACTCTTTTATTCCAAGAATTGACGCCAGCAGAAAATCTCTCCCTTAACGTGAACAAAATTAGATCTATTTTAGATCAGAGAAACTAAAATAAAGTCAGGGTTCTTTAGACAGACGTATTACACATGTGGACCTAAAGTAATTAGAAAAATAGGGTTGTTAGGAATGAAAATATGTCATGTATTTATGATGGTCAGAATACTGTTAGGGGATTTAGCTCACTTAGAACATTGTATACCAATTTAGAGGTGGTTTCTTCTGATCCATAATCCGAGTATAAGCACTTTTTCCCATCATGTAATTTGGATTGAGGCAAATTGACTTGACCCCGCATATTTGGAGGACGAGGAAGAACGTGTTTGGATGTTCATTTCCTGCTGTTCTCTAATTCTGTAAAAAAAAAAAAAAAAAAAAATCAGCAGCAACATGATCTGCTGAGCTTGTAGCTTGATTATGAAGGGCAGTAACACCTCAGCTGCTCTCAGAGTATTGGTCCATTCTGGGCCCTCAGAACCAACACTTTACCTGCGTTAGTTTTAGAAAATTAGTACATCTCTGTTCTTGGCAGACTGCTTCTAATCTTAATGAAGTGTTGTTAACAAAAGCATCTCATGATCAGATTATAATTTTAATCCTTTATAAACCTTATTTAAAACCATACTGGTTTCAGTCAGATTAAAGATTTTGTGCATGTAAACATAGCCACTGTGTGATGTAAAAACAGCCCTACACTTCCTACTCTAAACACACCATGCTATGATCACAAACAGTGGTGGCAGCATCATGCTTCTTGGATAGTACTTTTTCTCCAGAAGGGACAGTGAAGCTTAAATTTGCCTCAAAGTTACCAACAAAAAGAGGAGACTCCACAGACAAAATTTAGCTGTCTCAGTCTATTGAACATAGTTGGAAGAAGTGGGGCAGAAAACGACACAGAGGCAAAGAGAATTCATCCAACTGAAAAAATGGAAGCACAGGCTTTAAAGATTGATCATTGAGCCCAATAACGGGACAAGTCATAACAAGTCATTTGGATCAGAGTTCCATCTGTTTGGTTTTGGTTTAGGCCTTATAAAACTATTGTTTTTCTTTTTTTTTCTCAGCTTACTCCAAGTGAGGAAGCTTTTCTCCGAAATTACGCAGGCGTGGTCCACAGTCAGATGAGCCAGTTACCACAACACAATATCGACCAGGGTAAGACCAGAGCACACACTTCTTAACATTTTATCACATTTCTGCTCATCTTTATTCTTCCTAAATGCATATTTTATCTTTTCCAATGTGTAATAAAAGCATGTAGAGACCCCTCTTGCTTGCTGCAGAGCTGCAGCTCTGGCTGATCTAAAAACAAAAAAAAGTCCCTTCATACCTTATTCTCAGACTGCACAGCTCAGCATACTTCCCTGACTGTGTCTTGGAATGACTTAACCACCCAACAGGTCTTTAAGATTACACACCCAGCAAACAGCCTGTATCTGTGGAAACAAGCGACTCCCCCTTATGTAAGAGTGAAACGCTGCTCACTGTCATTTCCGTCCTTCTCTCAACAGAAAATATATTTACTATGGAAACCAAATCAGCCCCAATCTTCAGTTAATGAACAGATGAGTTCACTAGAGTGCGCTGTTGAGCTTTTTCTTCCATCTACTGATCACTTTAGGGAAGCCCACAAGATGGCGCTGCTTTAAAGCACTAATAAATGTGCAGAGATGCTGCAGTTGTCAAAGCAACCAGCAGAAGATTGTACATCTTTTTGTCCAGCTAGGCTTCCATTACAATAAACATGTATTAAACAGAGTCCGGCTGGGTAAATCTGCAGTGGCTCACGTCCTGCTTTTATCTTTATGATCTTCACCACCCTTCAGACCGCATTAGAGACAGAAAATCACCTTGAGGTTTTAGATGGGTGTCCTTGTCTGCGTCCTTTCTCTGTAATGAAACAATCAGTGCCGGTGAAATGTGGAGATGATCTTTTATTTTTCTCTTCTATAAGGCAGGTTTCATTATAGCCTCACATTTGTTTAATAACCAACAGAACATGTAGAATGGCATCATTTAGGATGTTTTATGTCATGTATAAAAAGCTAATCAGAGATAAGTTCACAGATGTTCTGGTGCAGAAGTCTGTGTCTCTGCTTTGTCAATACAGCACCGGCAATTTAGTGCTGTAAGTGGTGGAAGTCGCATGTTGAACGTCCTCTGTGTGCCCATGAGTTATTCATCGTCTAGAGCTTGTCCGCGGTATTGTGATTAGCTATTACGAACACGTCGAAGGGGTAATCTGTTTTTAAATATTCAAGGCTGAACAAAGGACATGGTTTGGTACGACGGAGTATTAGGGCCACACATGAAGAGAAAAAATATTTTTGCTATGACGAGATTAAACTCGAAATGTCGACTTTAAAGTCGACACGTCGACATTAAACTCAACATTTCGAGAATAAAGTTGAAATGTCATGTTGAGTTGAATCTCGACGTGTCGACTTTAAACTCGCCCTGTCGACTTTAAACTCGCCATTTCGAGAATAAAGTTGATATATCGTGGCGACTTTAATCTCGACATTCCAAAGTTTGGAGAAAAGAGCAACCGCGCTCCACAGCTGCAGTCCGCAGTCTGCGTTTTAAGAGTGAAGGTAGTCTTTGACGTGCTGCAACTATATAATCATCACAGGAAGCGGTGGCCTACCAATAATAACGTAACATCTTTCCCTATGCTTACCTAGGCTCGCAGTTCTGAATTTGAGAACATGTCAGTCATTTCAACTTTATTCTCGAAATGGCGAGTTTAAAGTCGACAGGGCGACTTTAAAGTCGACATGTCGAGTTTAATCTCGTCATGGCAAAAATATTTTTCTCTTCATGTGTGGCCCTAATACTCCGTCGTAGTTTGGTGATATATAGTGTCAGATGGAAGGACTTTTTTTTTTTTTGTACAATAAAATGCATTCAGCACTATATGGATGATTTGAGACATAAAAAGAAACTTCAAGCATTAAATGACCATTGTGTTCTAGTTTTAATATGCCAAGGTGTTTTTAATTATTTTTTTATGTTGTCCCATGCAGCAGCTGCTCTGTCGTTGTTTTTCTGTTTCAGTCCAGCAGCAGGGGGTTTATTTTATTTCTGATAGTGCATCAGTGGGTTATTCAGAAGTTAATCAGGCTGTTAGCGGGAGGTGGACCTGGTGCTCTCCAGTATTGTACATAAATGGTAAAAACTAAAGGTCAAAACTAATAATTTATACTTGAACTTTATTATACCAAGAGACCGGAACTCTGCACAGCTCATCCTGATGGGATAAACAATGCTCTTTTTTTAGATGAAGGTATGTTATAGCTACTTTACACAAACTGAATTGCAGTTTTAATATTGAGGCTGAGATGTTTTCTCCTATGCAAATGGACCCAGTCAGATCTGACTCCCCTATTTGTAATTATTGTTCAAATGGCAGCACAGGCATATTTTTTTTTAATTAGCTAACACTGAGTTCAGATCAAATCTACACATTACTTAAAAAGGCTATAAACTTCACTGAGCAATCAAGAAGCTTGTTTCCAGGACCTTTCTTTCCCTTATGATCCCTGTAATGTTATAAACAATAACAGAAAGTAAAGAAATTAAGATCATTTTGTTTGAGAAGGTAGGTATATAGTAAAACAACAGGACACGTGGCTATATAAGCCCAAAATTAACAGGAGGGTCAAATAGTTAAAAGATAATTAAGACCAGATGACAAATTATGTTATATTTATGCTCATAGTGAGGTGGCAGCCTTTATTGACTTAAGTTATGAATTCACTCAAATTGCACAGTAGGATATTTAAAGCTATTCCAATAATTAAAATTCCAAAGGTATCAAAATACCAATTTTTTTGGAAACATTCTGTCCTAACAGCTTCAGTTATAGTTTAATTATATTGTCAGGTCTTGCACATAGGTTTGTAGATTTTCAATCCTCTAAGGATGACACTGTTTTCTTTATGCTGATCAACCGACACATTTTAAATAATTTTCCAATTGTTTTGCCAAGTCTTGACATTTCCACATATGATTTTATGTTATGATTATGTTAATACTTATTCAATACCTTCGTCCTCAACATTTTACTTCCCATCCTTAAGCTACAAATTTTTTCTTCAACCAGATAAGATTAAAGTTTTTCTTTGTAATTTCTTTTCTACTTCAGCTAATTTCATACTTTTCAGCCTATGTTGTGAACTTTGGCTTCATTCTGCTCTGTTTCTGGACAGGAATTAAGCTTTTCTGTTTGCTGCTAATTCATAACACGCCTGACATGTTTCTGGAAAGTAGGTAAACCCCCCTTCAAAATTTCTTTATACATTTTTCTAGAAACTTGGGAGACATTATATTAAGACCCTTCTAGTGCCCACATTCAAGACATTTTTTGATATCATGTATGGTTTGGCTGTGCAGCTTTTAAGATGAGTTTGTTTCTGCCATTTTACTGCCAAATGATTCTACCCTACAAAATCTTCAGATGATTCAATTGTTTTCTGCAGTTTGAAGTTTCTGATGACTTCCTATCACATTTTCATATGTTCTTCAGGTAATTTCAGCTTTTTTCATTCAGCAAAAGCATTCCCACTTTGATGTTTCTCCGAAACAGCTTTTTCTAGTTTATGTTTAAAATACGCATTTCATATACTTTTATTAGAAATACCTCCCATCCCTGGCTGCAGTGATTAATTGTATGTTTTACATTGGCTTTTCATGTTCTCAAAGACTAAGATTTTGGAGGAGAGAGCTTCCAGTGAGGTGATAATCAGAAGGTTGGATGGTTTACCTGTTAGGAAACCACAATGTGTTGCATGAATGTGAAACGCTACTGATGATAACGCAGGAAAAAATACAATGTCAGGAATTCTTTTAGGAATTTCAATATAACTGTCTGTAAGAAGAAATTTAAATGTCTCTGGAGACATTAAGACAAAAATCATAGTTCGTTTAACTGCATTTACTCTTTCAGATCTATGTTATTGTGCAACATGACCATTTGTTTCCTAGCTGTTTGCTTAAGCACATTAAAATAAAATGAATCTAAAAAATAATGATGCTTAAAGGAATAGTACACCCAAAACATGATTAGCCTTCATTTTCTACTCACCCCCATGCTGAACAACACCCTGGAGTACTTTTTTGATATCTCAAATGCATCTGGAGATCTGGGAGGCTTCTTGCTGTCTGCTGACATTCAAATAATGGAGGTCTGTGGTGCCCGAGACAGAAAGGTCCATAAAAGTCCACAAAAAACGTGTCAATATTCCTCCATACTGCTCGTCCAATGTATTCCAAGTGTCCTGAGTGGGTAGCATCCAGAATTTACTTGAAACTAAGTCATTTAGAATGTTTTTAGAGCATAAACAGTAGTGTATAGGATTTCCTGAAAGCGCGCGCCGGCGTGTTCATGACGCTACGGAAGCCGGCAGACCAAACCAGATGAAAGTGCGCATTCAGCGTCTGCTCTGCCAATAATGCAAGCGTAGAAGAAGAAATGTGCTGTTTACCTGTGCAAAGAAAGAAACAACGAAAGAAAAATGTCTGAGGACTTCAGTGTTGAGTAAGAGCATGAGTTCCTTGCCGAGCTGAATGCGCTGGTTTGGTCTGCCGGCTTCCGTAGCGTCGTGATCGCGCACGTGCGCGCTTTCAGGAAATCCTATACACTACTGTTTAGGCTCTAAAAACACTCTAAATGACTTCGTTTCGAGTAAATTCTGGATGCTACCCACTCAGGACACTTGGAATACATTGGACGAGCAGTATGGAGGAATATTGACACGTTTTTTGTGGACTTTTATGGACCTTTCTGTCTCGGGCTCAATAGACCTCCATTATTTGAATGTCAGCAGACAGCAAGAAGCCTCCCAGATCTCCAGATGCATTTGAGATATCAAAAAAGTACTCCAGGGTGTTGTTCAGCATGGGGGTGAGTAGAAAATGAAGGCTAATCATGTTTTGGGTGTACTATTCCTTTAACTCTGAAAAACTTATATTAACAGACAGCTAATAATTTGGTTTATTAGCTATTAATGTTAATCTAGTACTTTATTTCTACAGTTTCAAGATTTTTGAGTTCCAATAAATAAAATAATTAATTTAAGGTGTAATTTCAGTTGTGCCATATTTTTACTGTTCATGTTAGTTAGTTGCTGCTCTACACAGCAGTGAGTTAATTG